GTCCAAATAACATTTTTTCTTCTTCTTAAAGTCTTAGAATTATATACACATATACATAATTTCTTATTACTGATTCTATAATTTAAGAAAAGGTACGAACTATTTCTCTTCAAATCATCAAAAATAATTGAAAATATATGTTTTGTAAGAAATATCATACCTGACACAGCCAAAACATCGTACTGAGATAACGAAATTGTGAGCATAATTACAAGAAAAAAACTTATAAAAGTTCTTGTGATACCCATTATGTATCTTTTTTTTTTTTTGGTCACTGACCTATTATGTATCTTACTAGATTTTGACCCACGTTAAGCGTGAGATTAAATATTGAAATATATTTTCTAATCGATCTTAATGTTTAGATGTGTATTATAATATTTATAAACGTACAAAATGATATGTATTGTGCATAAATCTAATAAAATTAAATATTTACTAAACATATTTCAATGTCATATGATTTGATCAATTTTGCATAAAATATTAAAACTAATGCAAATGTTATTTCAATTTATTTGAAGTGTCAAATTGAGTTTTATTATTTGTGTAAATAGTAGAGTATGCGATAATCAAATAAATTTAAGATTTATATAAATTTATCGGATATAACAAACAAATTTTTTTTTTAATAATAAAATGTAAAAATATTTGTAAGTGTAGTTATCATCTACAAATAAATAATATTGTTACAAATATAATAATAAAAAGTTTTTTAATATACCAATTTTCTTTTTAAAAAAATAGAGAAATTTCAAAAAATACCACTTTTCAAGTGCCACTTTACAAATATACCACACTTTTGAAATCTTTACAAAAATGCCATTTTTTCAAAATTATTTTCTTTATATTATTTATATTTGGGTTAATTATGTTCTATTAAGGTTTAATTATGAGGGTTTAGGGGTCAAAATATTTTTTAGTGTTTAGAATTTTAAGATATAGGGTTTAAAAATCTATAATTAGTGGCATTTTTTGAAATGAACACATCTAGTGGCATTTTTGTAAATGTGCACAAAAAAAGTAGTATTTTTACAATTTTCCAAAAAAAAGATGATATAGTAAATCTAAATATTACATTTAGTTAAACTTAACTATGTAAAATATATATTAATGGGTTTATGTTATAAAATTAATAAAAAATATAGATATTTCCACCATAGCATATAGTTTTGATTAAGATATTTTCTTTAGTTAATTTAAATGATATATTCTTTAAAATCCTT